CCCCATCCCCTTTTTCCCCCACACTCTGTTCTCGCCCAGAGGGCATCTAGAGGATGGCGATGGCTATGGCTGCTCGAAAAAATAATCAACGTCTTTTCCCTCAGAGTCATGAGAATAAGAGGGGAAAGGGGCGCAAGCGCAGGGGAAGACTGAGTGAATGGTCGGATGGAAAAAATGCAGGGCGGCGACTCGGTGGCTTGGAGGGGCTTTGGGGGGCTCGTCGGCGCTCGTGCCCGCGCCGCAGCCCCGCCGCTGCACACGGCTACGCACTTTGCGTCGCCCGGTCACATGACGTACAGTGCAGACCGAGCGCGACAGATGTTCCGAGGGGAGAAAGAAAGAAGCGCGCCGACCAAACCAACGAGGGGAAGAAAAAAATGCAGCAGCCAGAAGAGTCTTTGGGACGAATAAAATATGCCCTATAGCGTCGTTCCTTTCGCATAATCCTGAAGTGAAAGTGTCCGACAAACGGGCTACGAATAACAACACACTTCAGCGAAACAGGCGTCCCAGTTTTGAAAAGTATACCAGTCCAAAACCAAGGAACCAAGTCAAACTCTCAATATCGTGTTACTTGGTTGGTTGAAACACTAAAAAGTGCTAATTAGATGCAACTAATGTTTCATGAAACATATTTGAAATGTCCGCACACATCTCCAGAAGAACAAGGCGGTATATAACGTTGTTGGCCGTTGGGAGGAGGCTGCGGAGATTGGTCCAGCTTTGAGCGAGCACGGACACGGGGGGCTGGCTACGTGCGCGGGTGCGCGCCGGATGCTGGCCAGGGGGGGGGGGGGACCACCAAAACAAAGCAAACACCGGGAGCCCAGTCCTACAACCCCAGTTTCTTTCTTTTTTACGGTTGTCCGTGCGCGCGCGCGTGTGTGTGTGTGTGTGTGAGTGTGTGTGTTTGCTGTGCACGGGGGTTGGTATTGCTGCCACCGAGTGGTTGGTGTGGCGCCGTGGTGGCGCCCCGAGATCGTAAACAATGGCAAAAGTCCCCCCATACTTGCGCCGTGCCTGCTGTGGCGCGCGGGCTTTTCAAAATATGACCGCGGTAAACCGCACGATCCTCCCCCCCTCCCTCTCTGCTCCTGGAAGCCGCGTGGTGATGGTGGGGCACCCGGCACAAGGGGCGCTAATGCTAATGCGCCGGGGCAGGGAGCTGCGGAAAGGGGGGCGGAGGGGAGGAAAG